AGCAAGGCAGCCAAGGCAGGTAAGCAAACAGGCAAGGCAGACAGGCAGGCAGGCAGGCAGCTAACAGGCAGCCGGCCAGGTATACCACCTTCTTGCAACATAATACAATAATTATGAAATTCGTGAGTTTCTAAACAGAGGCGCATGCCACGATTTCCGCTGTCCCGCCTGATTTTCCAGGTCCGCCATATAACGTATTTTCTCCCGCCAGATTCTCGAACAACGAGAAGCGTTTGACCGATTTTGACTGCGCCGTCGACCGACCGGTGACCCGCTCTCACTTTTACGACGGGAACCGTGTGTCCAGGAATCGGCAGGACCTAATCGAACGCTCAGACTACCCTGTTCGGCCATTAAACGCGGACCCGATCCACGTGGCAGACAGATGCAAAAGACGCACAGCCCCGGTGGTATTTTCGTAGTCGTAAACGGAACAACTTTCGTTATTATTTTTAATACTCTGCCTTGCACAGATTACCGTTGTGAAACTTTTCGTGTATTACCACGACCGTTTCACTCTCAAATACCTTGAAGCTTTCGTTAATTTCTCGTTTCGAGTTATTATATATATTCCCTTTTGATGTATACCTATTACGATATTTATAGGTTAGGTTACACTCAGTGATCGAAGGATCGCGTGTCTAAGGACGAATTCCGTGCGTGGAGGATTTTCTTTCGACGGAGCCTAGATCCACCGGAAAAATAGAGTTTCAACGTGCATCGAGGTAGAAAAGCACGAAGCATCGCTGCGGCTCGCGCGAACAGTCATCGCCTATCTCGATTGCAAAATGAGAAAGAATTATGAGTGTACCTATACACGATTAACCGTGCGATCCGAGCGAGCGTTTAACAGCAATGAACCGAACCTTTCTTCCGAACACAATCGGTTAGTTAAGAAATTTCGTGTTACGTAAATTAACTGGAAAATTGATAAATAAATTCGACGACAATGAAATCTTCGATTCCAACGAGCAGTACTGAATCAGCGTGTTTTTTCTTTCTCTTTTTAAATATTAAGTAACATCGTTAAGTAATATTTAAGTGGCACACAAGTAGCGAATGATTTTCGTGGCTGCCGAACACGTACGCAGGGCCCCGGTGGTGTCATAACCTCAAACGTGGAACTTTCGACGTCGAAAGTGACCACGAATTTTTCGACTCTAATTTCACTGTCGTCGTCGTCGCCGGTGAAAATATATTTCGGCTGTCTAATAGAAATTTGTCCCGGCAGCCAAAAGGCTTTCACCTGATTGTATCGCGTGGATATGAAGCGAGCCTCAAACGTCCTACCTCAAATTTCTAGATTCCACTTGCGCAACCGCACTACCGGTTCGCCTTTGGCCATAGACGAACGTGCGCGCGCAACATCGCCGCTCCTCCACGTGACAAATCTGCCATTGTCCAAAAAGAAAATTCACTGGGACCGATTGAACTTTTTGTCGGCAATGATGCTAATGACGGAAAGGAAAGCACAAGAAGCTAGTTCTCTAAGAACCACGTCGAGGGCGTAACTTTTTATATCGGCCACACCAGATGCCTGAAACTAGCACCATAAAAGACTTTACCATCCCCTGAACGTGGCCACCTAAAAAGAGCACAATTACGTCGATTCTTGCGTGGAAGAAAAATCTGGAAAGGTAGTACCATATATTCGTTTTTGCAGAGAGAAGTCTCGTACGATAATTTATAATTTCGTTTTAAGGTTATTACAAAACTACGAGATGCAGTGTTACGTGGAGAAAATTATAATTTACCGCACACGATACGAGGCAATTACGAATTCAAAATTGGATCGATGATAGAGAAATTAATAAGGATAAAATATGCTTCGTAGAACGAGTAACGTAAACCTTGAGGAAAGGACGTTATTCTTTGAGAAGTCGTTAAAACGGCGTTTAATGAAAAACTCGAGATGCAGGTACTGTCGGATTAACGTTGCATAAGTTATTCCGATATTTTTTTCGCATAGTTATTGTTCATTGAACGGCTTCGGTTATTTGACCGATTATCCGGTTACATAATTTTATAACTTTATTTCCGGTGTATTATAATTTTCAAGCAGGTCCCGCTATAGCTTTTTCCAGCGGATATCGAATTACACCGGGTACTCGGCGATTAAAATATCCATATATCGCGAAGAAATATCTCGATTAACCGGATCCCGTGCACCGAAGTCAAATAGACGAACAACGAACAGGTTTCGTCATTGGCTTCTTTTTTTTTTTTTCGGTGAAATCAGACGAGACGGCGAAAGCGAGATAGTTTGTCGTCCGGGTAAAAATGGATAACGCCTGGAGAGACCTAACCTGAGCAGTCGAATTATTCGCAGCTGCGAAATTTAGACCCCGGAGTCAATATTTGATCACGTCCGTACACATATGGCGGTAGGTTGGAAAGTGAAATTAAAAATTCAACGGCGGTGTACCATTGTCGATAGCTCATTCTCGTTAAACGATGTTTCAGCGACCATAGCCTGTTTATCTTGCGTTCGAAAAGGCGAAACAGCTTCATTCATCCCAAAAGGCTAAAGCATAACACGGACCAGGTATCAAAGAGTTTTTCGTCGTTTATATATAAAGCTTTCTTCATCCTTTCGTGATCTTCGCTAATTTCCTTGATTACAGCGTCACGGAAGTGCTTGGGGAATTCTGGGTGGAAAAGTTTAAACGCATTTGTAAGTTGCACGGGTCGAGACGTGACCCCGTTTTAGCAGAGTTTTACAATCTCGTGTAATAAATGTGGATGCTCCGCTGGATGAGTTCATGGCTTCCAGAAGAAGATGGTTTTCAATCGGCTCTAAAGCAGGTCCGAGGTAACGTTCATTACGCTGAATGAGCCTTGCTCTCGTATTCACGGACCACTGCAAACAGCAGGTCTGTTGCAGAACTGCGACAGGTGTTATCGCGCGATTACCACAAGCGTATTTAACCGGGTGTTTTTGTCCGTCGACGCGCCGTTTCTTTTGCGCACGTATTTCGATTTTCTTCTCATTTTCTAAAGTGTCGAAAGTGCGAAACGAACGATGTACGACGTAACGCAGACCAGGCGATTTATATTTCGTTTAACGCCGAGCCCGAAGCATGGAAACTATCCGTGTGGTAAGAGGCATTGTGCCGGTAGTAATGGCGGTCACAACACAGCCGAGAAACTTTTGTTATCGATTCTAGTAACGAGCATTACGAAACGATCGTCCAACTAACAACTAAAAGCATTGTCAAGTACACGCTCGGTAATTAACCGTTCGACAATTGTTAAAGCCCATGATTTCAATAGCGAAGAAAAAAGAAAGAAAGAGAAAAAAAAAACGAAAATGGAGTATTTTCGACGAAGCGGGAAAATCGGCTCGTGCGACGGGAAGAAATTAAACGATCCGTTCTGCCTAATCGGTATAAAATTTATACGCGGACGGAGGTTTTTACATTTCTGAATAGCGTGCAAGTAAGAAACTGCTTCCTTTCGTAAACACTCGCAAGCACTCTGGAAACTTTCCGCGTTAAGCAATCCGCGTTGCCGCTGTAGGAACGCCGTGGAAAACGGCGTGCAAAGGCGGCAATTGCGACAGAGCCTGTTTCGAGATTCGCTTAATCGCTGGGCCTTGAGGGCCTAGACCCAGTTACTCGAATTGCATTAGATGCTTCGTTCGAATCGTCCCCCCGTTAAATCGTTGCCAAAGTGCGAAAAAGATTTTCCAAGGCGATCGTCGCTTCGCGAGCAAATAACCTCGACTTTCGCGTAAAATCTGCATAATTCGCGCATGGAAAGCGAGTCAAAACTCGATGGTAAAAAGCGGCTGGCAAAGCGATGCATTTAGAAAATCGACGGTGGTTATATCGCGAATTCTTTTTATTGCGTACGTGTAAGAACCGTTTGCCTAATCGGCCGTTTAACGTGGACGTGATCGTGCGATATTGTCGTAATGAAAATTAACGATGGAACGCGGCCACGCGGATAATACGTATGCAGAAACGAAGAAGAAAGTGTTGGTCAAAACAGAAGCGTTAGAGCGACAAAAGAATTCGCAAAGGAAGACAACAGTATCGGTTGAGCGCTTCGCGGTGTGTAATAAGGTTAAGTTCGTAGGAGCGTGATGCGAAAACGCCCGAACGGGAACGGGTTTTGCCGAGGTTGGCCGAAAGGAACCGTGCGGTACCGAAGCGCGACCGCTGTGCACGCGTTCGCGCGAAAACCGCTTTTGACGTGCACAGAGCAGGGTGCACGTAAAGATATCGAATACGAGATAACGCAAAGTTTGATAACAATGCGGTAACATTAACGCACCGGTGATACCGTGAAAGTTATTCCAGATGCTCGTAACGAAGCGGTGAAAGTAATCACGTTACAGAACGCTTCCACGCGAATAATAATTCACGCGCTTACGATACAGTAAATAATAATATTCGTGCCCGGGTTATATCGAAGGTATCGAGACGCGTAGCGTTCGTCTCGGCAGCCACAGAACACAAAGGGAATACGTAATACCTGTTTCGCCGATATATTATTTTTTCATTCATATCAATGGGAATATTTTAAACTCGAAACCCGTTACACACGCGCGTCTCGCGATTACGTTGCATAATTGAACATTGAAATCTACTCGGACGCATATACGCGTGCGCTTTCGTTCTTCTGCATAAAAATCGCGACGATACCCGCATGCAGCGCTTTCACGTCCAAAAAATGAGCACCCATATCGTCGAGAGACCAAATAAAATTCGTTTGCGCAACGGTACGAAATTCTTTGCGTCTTTGTTTACCTTCCACGTTAGTTCTCGCCCGGTTTAACCTGCGAGTTTTGCCAAGCTTTCGAATTTCGAGAAAAGGAGAAAAAATAAAAAGAAGAGGAAAGAAAAGAATCTTCAACAGCCAAGAACCACCGAGAGAACCTGCGCGCGCGCGCATACGTTAATCCTGCTGTCCCCTGTTTTTGCAAAGCGTAACGAAGAGGCATATAAGAAGAGATAGCCGCGCTAGAATGATGTCACAATTGAAGAAAAACTCACCCTCAAGCTTCATGCCGACTTCGAGGCACTTCTGAAAGCGGCAGAAGGGACACCGCTTCCGTTGCGTTTTGTCAATGTGACAGGACCTCTCGGCGACGCACGTGTAGACCTTCTTGTTTTGGACGGTGCGCTTGAAGAAACCCTTGCAGGATTCGCAGGTGAGTAGCCCGTAATGGTAGCCGGACACCTTGTCCCCGCAGACCGGACACAGCTCTTCTATGACGATGTCCTTGGTATCGGGGAAGTCGGACGGACACGGTATCGAGCCGGTCACGACACCAACCCCGACCTGGCCCAATCCAGGGTGGCAGAGAGTACCAGTTGGTAATGAGTAGGTGGTAGTTGGTATCGCGACATTGGCGCTTACCGTAGCGGATCCGCCGCCACTTCCGCCGCCGCCGGCTGCACCACTACCGCTACCGCCGCCGCCAGCAGCGGCGTTTCCTGCGGTGGGCCCACTGCCGCCAGCGGCACCCGCACCACCCGCTCCTGCGCCGCCGGTACCGGCGGCACCGCCACCGGTATAACTGCTACCGCTACTCTCGAGGGCTGTCGACGTGCCGCAACCACCTCCGGCGCCGTTCGCCGCGCCATTGCTGCCTCCACTGCCGCCGCCAGTGCCGCTTCCGGCTCCTGTTGGCGAGAACAGACACGTGTACACCTTCTTGTTGCCGCAAGATCCGATCTCGAGTGCCGATGATGCGCCGCAGCCACTGGTTCCACCACCGTTGTTACCGTTGCCGCCGTTTCCGCCACCGCCACCTCCACCACCGCCGCCACCGCCTCCGCCACCTCCCCCACCTCCCGTCGGCGAGAATAGACACGTGTATACTTTTTTGCTGCTACACGGTGAGTTGTTCCGTTTGAAAAACCCTTTGCAGGACTCGCACGTCAGCACGCCGTACTGATAGTGTCCCGTGCCCGACATTTTGTCGCCGCACATGGGACATCGTTCTTCCAGGCCGGTCGAGTCGAAGAACGCGGCGTCGAAGCTTGAGATGCCACCCTGCGAGTGAGCTTGACTGTGCACCGACAACTGTTGCTGTTGCTGCGGTTGCTGCTGCTGTTGCGACTGCGACTGGTGGCACATCGTCGTGGGTGGACTCTGAGCGCAATTGCCGTACGGCGAGGAACCGTATTGCGGTTGTTGTTGCTGCGCTTGCTGCTGCTGCTGCTGTTGCTGCTGCTGCTGCTGGCCGGCACCGGCTGCACCTTGGGGACTACCCTGGGGGCTCAGATGGAACGGCGACATATTCAGGGATATCAGGCCGGAATGCTGCTCCATCTCCAATAACATATCACCTTTGCGCAAGCACTGCACGGAGGAACGTGCTCGTGGCGTATCGGCACATATATGAATTGCCTGCGAGTTATCCTAGTTCTAGCCACCGGGGCGATAGATCTTGGATTTTCTTATTTCTTGATATTTTCTTTTCAAGTGGCATGTATGCGACAGAACAACGGCGGGTATCGGTTATTCCTTTTAGCTCCGAAGCGGTAACGGTGTACGTCGTGCAAGGTCGTGGTACTTGCGTATGCTGGTACCACTGGCTGCGTACAATGTTGTCGCTGACGACGACGGCGACGACGACCGACGACGACGACGACGGCGACGACGGCGACGACGACGACGACGACGACAGCGACGACGACGACGACGACGATGACGACGACGACGACGGCGACGACGACGACGACGACGACGACGACGACGATGATGATGACGATGACGACGATAACAACAACGATGAAGTCGAAAGCATAAGAGCGAGACGAAACACACTATATTCCCTTGGCACGTATAATATCGATCACCAGTCACGTTTTTCTACGACACACGTTCACGAAGAGAACCATCGCGCACCACCGCAGAAAATAAATCCTCTTTCAATCGTGCTACTACGTCCGAACCATCGTAACGTGACGAAATATGGGTTTGCGTGTGTTGCGTAAAAAAAATCCTCGGCTGTCACTGTTGCATGCCTTTCCGCTGCGTCTTCGTATCGCTCGCGAGGTAACAAACCACCACAAACCGTCCCCCTTTGCTATCTTTCTCTGGTCGCGGTCACTGATAAATCCAACGTTAGAACGTGACACGAAAGAAGGATAAGCACACGCGAGGTTGGGACCGATGGTCGGAGCCACCACGAGGCAGAGGGCTGTTTCGACTGGGACCACAGCGCGAAGAAAACAGACGGATCGTTGTCTCACCGGACACGCGAATAGCCGGTAGCGTTACCGAGCGATCACACATGCGCGCAAGCGAGACGAAGTTCAACCACGGCGTTTGACACAAGATAATCAACACAGCGGATGGTCGGATAGTAGATAGAGAGACGTGCACAGACACTGTAATCCAGTAAGAACGGTACCCGTGAAAGAAAAGGACCGAGGGTGCGTTAAAGTCCGGTAAGGAGACACAGAGCGAGAGTAAGAAAGAGAAAGAATCTTCCAGTTCCCGGGATCGTGCGACTTGACAGCTCGGCTATCTGCGTACGACTAGTTGTCTTCTCGCCTCGTTGCTTTCCCGAAGGGCCCGCCCCCTCCCCGCTGCCGCCCTACCGTCGACACATGGAGGTAGGTAGAGGAGTCGGGAGACCGTCTCGTGAGACACGGCACACGTCACGTATATCACAGCAGCAAAAACGGGGATCACGGGTGGTGAAGGCGAAATACACGGGTTGCGGGTCGTCTTCCTTTTCGATCCATGCCCGGCTGGCCCCCCGGCAGATATATTATCGTTATCGTTGTGTTGTCGTTGATGTTGTCGTTGGCGATAATAAAAGCAACGCGCGCTGTCGCGGTGACGAGACCACGCGCTAAGACGGCGGTACTGGCAGCAGCAGCGCACGACACGATCGAAACGAATACGGTAGAGCACACGACACGGGACACGGGACACGGCACACGGTGGCACTCGGCGCGGCACGACGCGGTTCGCCCGGTATAGAGAGATACGCGCTTCACCGTGACACCGCCGGGAGTAAAATAAAATTGGCAGAACCGGGAGAACGGCGAGAGGCGCGCAGCACACCACCGTTGTCGTCGTCAGGCTCCCTTGGCGTTTCGGTGGGTACAGAGGAGAGGAGTGAAGGAGCGCGCGCGTGTCCCTTTACCGACGGCCACGGGTCGAGTGTGAGAGCGCGAGAGCGAGAGAGACGTACGGCGTATAACCAACACAGCGCACGGCATAAGTGAAAGTGATTCAGCAGCGCATGCCACCGCGCGCGGCCAGGTGCCCGACGGAGAGTAGTGGAGGTACCACCGAGAGCTCGGCCGGTGGTGGGGGGTGGGCAACACGCGGTGCTCGGGAGGAGAGGGGCCGACCGAGAGAGGAGCGGGAGGACGGGGGAGGTCGGGAGGTATTGCCGTGGTCGAAGGGATTGACGGAGGAGGGGAGAAGGAGGTTGCACAGTCAGTGGTGGGGATGACCTACTTACGGAACCAGGTCTATGTCGGCCGGAGAAGTATTGTCCCCGTACGCTCCCGCGCCGGTCTGCCGCCCGTTGCTGCCGCTGCCACCGCCGCCGTCGTTTTGTCGACCGTATTTGTCGTCGGTGCTGCCGGCGAATACCCCGACGCACGTGTACCACGAGCCCGCACGGGTTCCGATCCCCAATCGATATACGTTTCTACCGACTCTATACTCGCGTAACGCGGATATAACGCGGATATAACGCGCATACAACGCGGATATAACGCGTCGCGGGATTCTCCGGCGAAAATCGTCAATCGCGTGCGCACGCATGCGCCCGTTCGTCAACAAATTTTCGTGATAGCTATTTCACGGCATAACGACGAGATAAAAGTTGCGAAGGAACTCGCGCGATATGGCCTGCTCCGTAACGATTTCGTATACGCGCCAAGTACTCTCATTTCTCCGTCGTCACGCGCGAGGAAGATGGAACGAATGCCTGGAGCCCGCGAACAACTCTTGCTTTCAAAGAGCAGCGCACAGGGGAGCCAAACACACGGAGAGTCGCGGTAAGCGGGCACAGGGCAGGCGCACAGGCCACATACAGGCCGTGGCTGGGTCAACAGTAACGCCGTTGGCACTCCCCGACAGTGCCAGTGCTTCTCTGTGTGTACGTCGCAGTAGATGTACGAGGCGCAGTGGTGGGGAGACCCACTGACCCAGTTCGCTGAGAACATGACGCAGCCGCGACTCACTCCCTCTCGTTATATCTTTTTCTCTCTCTCTCTCTCCGTCTCTCCCTCGCCTTCTCGCACCCTCGACGAGAGCCACCTCGCGTAGCCCACCCTCCAAGCCAATATTCCATCTCTCTCTCTCAGACCCTGTCCTTACCTCTTTACGTGTGTTCTGTCACCCTAAACGTGTGCGTGTCTCTTTTTCTTCTTTCTTTCTCTTCCTCCCTTCTTCGCCGCGTTTCTCGCTCTGTCCCTCGCCCTGTCTCTCTCTTTCCCGTTCTTACCCTTCCTCTCTCCTTGTCTGCCTGCGTCTAACGCGTATCGTCTTTCCTCTCTCTCTCTCCCTCCCTACCAAACGCTGACCATACGACGCGCGTGTCTTTTTCTAGCGCCACCTCGCCCACCTCGCGCGCCCCATCCCCCGTTGCGTCTTGCTTATGCACACACCGAACGTAATTGTCGCGCTCTTTTTCGTCCAAGTAACCGTGCGCGCCTGCCGTAATAGTGCATACATTTACCCGTCGTACCTATATGCAACCGTGCACACGCATGCACGCGCACGGCGTGTCATCGATGAATGCACGCAGCAACTATTGCAAGCGTGTTGTCGTCATCGTCGTTGTCGTCGTATCCAGTGCACCGGGTTTAGAGGTTAGGTGCATTGTATATGAGGCGCTTCACGATGTTTTCTCGAATTCGGCCTGATTATTTCGAATGAAATTCGTGGTCGATTCGTGTATACGTTTTGTCGTGCTCGAATCGGTTTTTCATTTTTCGTTTTTTACTTCTCTTCTTTTATTCTCGCGCGAAAGTATATATAGGCGTCTGGAATTTTATTTAAATGGCGGATTCCAGCGATGGATTCCCGATTCGAGCACAATGTTGCGCGTATCGTTGGCCTTACGCAATACAACTTAAAAATAAATCATATTCACATTCGTATGCTTAATTACATGATACAGTAAAAGCAAATAAGAAGCGTGTGTGTGTGTGTGTGTGTGTGTGTACAAATGGCGCTGAGATTAACGAGTTACATAGATGTTTGCGCGTGAAAGAATAGTATATATAAGAAAGATGAAAGTAAAATGTAGCGAGAGATAGCGAGAGACGCTGCTCATGGCTGAATGTTAATTACGAAGCTTGGCAGGAAAGCTTGTTCTGTTAATCACTCGTTGGAAAAGTAATGGCGCGAAACCGGAAGTGACACCTGCTCAAATTTCCTTTAAAAAACCCCCTGCCCATTTCCAGGTTCACCGTGGTTTACGCAACAAGTGAATCAGACCTATCAACGACGCCTCTTTAGGCGCAATTATCCACGAGTACACCCATCTGTATCGATGTAAATCAATTTTTAAAAAGCGAAAGAAAAGAAAGGATAGGGGTATAGCAAAACGAACCTGTAGCATTTCCGCAACCAAAACCGATAAAAATAAAATATATTTCCTATTTATATTTTCTCACTGAATCTTCCCATAGAATAATCCCACTGAAGCCCACGATACGCATGTATCCCTAGAAACGTGTAAAAATATAAAATAAAGTATAAAATAAAAATAAACTAGATACTAATCATCTGCCTTGATTTCTTACGTTGGTAGTCTCCTCTAATTAAACAATTACGAAAGCACGTGGTACAATCGTGGTAACATACCAGAAAAATAAAAAAAAAAAATTCGAATTACATATTTTAATTTCCGACGTCAATAATTTCCCCATAAAATAACCACCGATGCCTCCGATACTCGATTATCCCTAGGAAAGCGTAATAAAAAAAAAAAAATAAAAATAAAGAGAGAACCAGACATTTGGGTTGCTCGCGTGTGTTAATCTTGCGGCTAGACAATGCCGGAGACGCACGGGCCGATCAGCGATGGAAACATCGTAGGATCGATGCTACATCCTGTTCCTCATTGTCGGCCGGATTGTGCGGCGCCCGAGCCGCGGGTGCGCACAGGTCTCTCTCGCTTTGTTCCTTCGGGTGCAGATCGGAAACGGCCGTACCTGCACGGTGCACGGTTGTCGCTGTGGGCCCAGTCATCGCGCAACGCATGCGATTTTATTTCCACCGGCGCATTGAGAAAGAATAAAGAGGTCGAGCCTCTCTGTGTTCCATTGCGTGTCACGTTAAATCACGATCATCGCTGTGTGACGGTGGAAACCGAACTGAGTGAACGAGAGAGGAAGAAGGAAAGAGACGCGGCCGGGCGGGGGGTGCGAGAGAGACAGAGAGGAAGGATCGAACGAAAGGGAAAAGGGCCGCGCGGTGGCGCGCGCTTCGAGCAATCGAAAGGGCGGAAGAACCGACGAAAGAAAGTGAAAGCTGTGACCCAGAAACTCTGGAAATGTAAATGGCGCGCGCCGATACGTTCGGGAATTATAAATCATTATACAAAGGTTCAGCCCGATTTCGACACGCGATAAGCCGACAATTTCGTTAGATCCGGACTGGAAGGTGCCTTCATAATTCCATCTGGGGAAATTACGAGAATTAATCGGATTGGTGGCTCGATGAAACTGCCGTTGGACGCCTGCCGCGCCACACGTG